CTAGACAGCATACTAAAAAGCAGAGACATCACCCTGCCAACAAAAGTGCGTATAGTCAAGGCCATGGTTTTCCCAGTTGCAATGTATGGATGTGAAAGTTGGACCATAAGAAAGGCTGAGCGACAAAGAATTGAGGCCTTTGAACTATGGTGCTGGAGAAGACTCCTGCAAGTCCCTTGGACTGCAAGGCGTTCAAACCGGTCAGTCCTAGAAGAGATCAACCCCGACTGCTCTTTAGAAGGCCAGATCCTGAAGCTGAAACTCAAATACTTGGCCACCTAATGAGAAGGAAGGACTCACTGGAGAAGAGCCTAATGCTGGGAAAGATTGAGGGCAATAGGAGAAGGGGACAACAGAGAATGAAGTGGCTGGATGGAGTCACTGAAGCAGTAGGCGTGAACTTAAATGGACTCCAGAAGATGGTAGAGGACAGGAAGACCTGGAACGTTGTCCATGGGGTCGTGATGGGTCGGACACGACTTCGCAATTAACAACAACAACAACGCAACTGAGTTTTCTGCAGGCCAACAGAATCATAAAACGTTTTCTCAAAAAGTTGGTGCACAGATAAATCAGGGTAAAGGAAAACAATCACAGCTGGTGGAATCTTGGCATTACTCATTCCTCTCAACTTTACACCCCAGTTTATTTATCTCCATGTCATCTGTACTTCAGCTCCCATCCTTCCCAGCTAAAATTCCCAGTGTAGGAACAAAGGAGAAATGTATTTACTTAGCATTGATTTAAATGCTAATATCTTCATTTTTAAAAAAATATTTTAGTGAAGGTCACAACATTCTTTATTATGGCCAAAGAACAGCATAAAGTGAACATCACATTTCAAAATAACAGAGTTGGAAGGGACCTTGAAGGTCCTCTAGTCCAACCCCCTGCTCAAGCAGGAAGCCCTATAGCATTTTAAACAAGTGGTTGTCCAATTATTTCTTTAAAACCTCCAGTGTTGGAGTGCTCACAACTTCTGGAGGTAAGGATAGATAGGGAAAAGTCATCAGGCAAGCCAAAAAAAACATTATTTTGGAAAAATCAGTTGCAAAAACTCTAAGGCTGTGAATATTCTGGGTGAACTTGGAAAAAAATGATATTTTAATAGAGCACTTTTTTCATGTTGCTTGGAAAATATGAGGTAACTTAATGAATAATTAAAAAAAAACAGTTTCATAGGAAATGCTTCCAATAAGCACTTCTTCTGAATTATTTATTCAGAATTATTATTATAATTATTATAATTATTTTCAAATCATGCATCGCCCTAAAAATGTATGTGCAAAATGCATTGTTAGGAGATATGTGCTTGCATTTCCACACAGAAATGTTAAAAACTACTTGCAAACTGATTCCCAAAAGGGACAAATCATATTTGAAGAACTGTATGATTGGGAAAGGAGAGAACTGTATAAAGCTTGCTCCTGAGAATCTAAAAATGTAAGCCAGAAATACATGAAAGAACATGGAGAAAAAAGATGAGTCATCATTGAATGAAATAAAGAGAGGAACACTCAGAAGACCAAGGCATGACAAACAGTTCAGCAGAAAAACAAGGACTTCTGAATTATCGTGAAGATTCTATCCTTCATTGGTGGACGGAATTCTGAAGTTTTCCACAATTCCTCATTCTGTGTCATAGGAATAGGAATATTCTTTATTGGCCAAGTGTGATTGGACACACAAAGAATTTGTCTCCAGTGCATAAGCTCTCAGTGTCCATACAAACAACAAAGGGGTACGCCATAGATCATAAATCATAAGGTACAATCATAAATCATAAGATACCAATAGGAGAAGGTAGTAGGAGAGATGAGAAGGATGAGAAAGAAAATAAGAAAGAGGAGAATGTGAGAAGTATAATAGCAATATAGCCTTCTACATAAGTAAATATCTTTAGGCACAAGACAATGCCGTGGGAATTAGGTGCTTAATAGAGTGATGGCATGGAGTGGGGGGGAACTATCTTTGTGTTTAGTTGTTTTGGCATGCAATGCCCTGTAGCATCGTCTTGAGGGGAGAAATTGAAACAGTTTATGTTCAAGATGTGAGGAGTCTATACAGTAATGGCCAAAATTGTGGAAACCTTTTGGGAAAAGTGTATTTTTGAGGTTTGATGGCTAATAACACCACTTTTTTGGAAGTAGTACCATAAAATTATATATCAATGGAAAGATAATTTAATCAAGAATGTAATGCAACAAAGTTTGTTCCATTATCTGTACTGTATTCTATGAAACGTTATAGCCAAATAACCAGAAAAAGGAAGCACAATTTGCTTAGGTTGATATCAAGTAGCTTTCCTTCATCTGATTGTAGCCAATGAGCATGAGTGTTTAGAGAGCCAATCAGGTGTCATCTTGTTTTGGCAATGAGCCAATCAGATCACAGTAGGATTCAGTTATTGATGTCCTGTATTGAAGCTGAGAGGAGGACATTTGTCAGTGTGTTATGTGATCGCTATCAAGCTGGTTGGGGGTTTTTTGTGTTCTTTCATTTAGTGAGCTTGTAAAACGTAATAAAATTAAAGTAATGGTGCAAAGAGTTGACTGGTCGCCCAGAAAGCGATGTAAAATAGTATTATTAAGTGAACAAGGCTACAGTTATAAAGAAATTAGAAGAAAAATTGGTGGGAACTTAACCAAAGGTGGCATTTCTACTGTACACTTTTCCCAAAAGGTTTCCACAATTTTGGCCACTACTGTAGATATTTTCTCAGCCCTCTTTCTGGCTTGTACAGTATACAGGTCCTCAATGGAAGGCGGGCTGGTAGCAATTGGGTTTTCTGCAGTCCTAACTATCCCTTGAAGTCTGTGTCTGTCCTGTTTGGTTGCTGTGCCCAACCAGACAGTTATAGAGCTACAAATGACAGACTCAATAATTCCTCTGTAGAACTCAGAGAACTTCTATCATCTCAGAAGGTGGCGTTCCTCGCCAATGCTGTCAGCTCTGATTAATCTCAGGCTGCCAACAAGGAATTGCAGGGCTATAGACTAGATTGAAACATACTAGAAGACATTTTCATACCATTAAGGAAGCTCCATTGGTTGGACTCCGTGGAGTAATCAAACTCAACTCAAAGGAGAGTATACTTTTAATTACATGTCATGCAAGGTATAAAGCATTAGAGGACATGGGTCGAGCAGAATAGTACAGTGTTTCTAGTTACTTACATGTCTAATGTCATGCAATCCAATCCACACATTGCTGGATTTAGTCTGGTAGGATTTTATGTGATTAGCCACCACGAGAGTCTCTGCAAGAGTGAGAATGGATGCCAAATGGGTCCCACGGTGGTAACTCTGGCACTCAATCTGGACAACACAAGGATGAAAAGGGTTAGAGTGGTACTGTTCCTTTCTTCTGCATTTGCCTAGCCAGTGGCATGGCCAGCATCAGTGCAACATGGACAATAGAACAACATGGAATTATGAAGTTTTTTTATTCCAATATCCCTCCTGAGCTTGAAGACAACGTCACTCTGGCTCAGACTGAGCTGCTGAGTTTGTCCAGCCCTTTCTACTTTCTGGCTCATCTTTGGGCCACCAGCCCTGATATATGATGAAAAAAGTCTCCCACCTTCCAGTCTGAAGTTTTATATATTGGTAATAGTCATATCTGGTGCAGGACCAAACTGACATTAGACATACGTAGTTAGATAACTGTGTGAGGATGAAGCTATTGGAAGGTGAAACTTTCTGGACTTTTTCCTGAAGAATTCCATCCTAGTGAGCTATTGTCAGGCACAAGTAATCAGGAATAGGAGTTGAGTTCAAATCACTAAAAGTTTACTACATGTTAACTATACACCAGAATTTGATCTACTAATGGTAAAGCGTATTGGTGCTAGATAAGAGTCAACAGAATTCTTGGGGTGGGGGGGTGGACTTGGGTCCCTTGCTGCTATGTAAGGATTCTAAACTGATAACATTTTTGACCCCACCTTTGGAATTCACCTATATCTAGCCCTCCAGCTATAGTAAGGCTTATTTGTGATTAGCCTTGACACTTTCCTGCATCCTCAGAGTTGGTTTGCTGACCCTGGATGTGGAGGGAGATGTAATTTTATGGAACTGTCTGCCTGGCTTGTTTCTATATAGAACAGGGGTGTCAAACTCAACTTCACTGAGGGCCGCATCAGCATTGCGGTTGCCCTCAGGGGGCCGGGTGGGTGTGGTCAGGGTGGGTGTGGCCTACTGGGTAGGCGTGGATGGAGTGGGTGTGGCCTACTGGGTGGGTGTGCATAGCTTTACATCGTTCGCATCAAGGGGGCTTGTGGGGGCCTGGGCAGGAGTAGGATAGATCTGAGGGTCTCTGGCAGAAGGGGGTTGGATCAGGGCAAGTGCCAAGGCATGGTCCACTGGAGGAGCCTCACTGTTCCTCTCAGGCCATGTGGATGGGGCTTATGGAGCTAAGACTGAATATGTTTCAGCATAGATGGCCACCACAAAATTGTACATTGGCTCCCAGCTGGCCTGGGCCAGGGTCAAGGCAGAGGGGGCCATTCCCTCACTGTTTCCAGGATGGCTTTGTGGGCCACATGAAACCACTTCACGGGCCACATCCGGCCCCGGGGCCTTGTGTTTGACATGTCTGGTATAGAGAAACAAGGGGAAGACATCAGATAGAAATAAGATGATCTGGACCAGCCCAGGTGACATAGTCTAAGGGCAAGCTCTCATATTCAAAACTTCCTCTTACCTCAGCTTCTTCCCATGTCTTCTTGGCCTCAAAATATCCATAGCAGTTGCCCTGGTACTGTAGCCACTCTCTGGCACAGGTGTCAGCACTAACTGTACAGGTGGAATAGAGATAAATAGGAAAGATGAAGAGAGGAATCAGAAGAAGAAAAATCTACTAGTCAACCAATAACACAAAAGATCTTGCAACATATATGTCTGTCTCATTTATTTAGATCAGGGGTGTCAAACTGCCGGCCCGCAGGCCGGATGTGTCACGACAAAACCGCGCCCACCCCATTGCTAGCAATGGGGAAAAAGCTCCAATATGTCATGCGACATCATGTGACGTCACGAGTTTGACATGTCTGATTTAGATGGTTGGCTAATCTAGATCAGCAGTCTCTCTAGCACTGTTTCTTGGCTCTTTAAGATGTGTGGATTTCAACTTCCTCAACCAGCTTAGAGGAGCTGCTGCATAAAACAGAAGCTAGAAAAGATCTTAAACCTGAATTTTTTTTATTAGGTATAATTCCAGAAAAAAATGATAAACAAAGTGTATATTTAACATTACATGTATTAATAGCAGTGAGGATTGTATTTGCTCAACACTGGGAAAATGGAAAAAACACCATTGGAGGAAGAGATAATTAAGAAAATATTGGACTGTGCTGAAATGGATAGACTCACATTGAGAATTAAAGAGAAAGAAGACACAGAATATTTTCAAACATGGAACTTATTTTACCAATGGCTGGAAAAACGAGATAGAGAGTAAGAATTTAACTTCTATTACTAAGTAAAAAATTTACTCAGACAACATGTTGTTCATCAAGTACGATTGAATTGTAACAATAGAAAATTAATAAAATACTTAAAAAAAAACAAGAAGCCAGAAAACATGTTCTTTTGTAAGTGTGCATAAAGTTATATTTTAGTCATGCATTCTTTGTTAGGAAGCGTTTATTCATATTTTGCAAACCCAAGTCAGGAAAACGTGCCAAAATTTAAACCAGTTCTATCACGGATGTGTAGTATATCTAAGTTTCATCACCACAAAACGAAAAATTTACTTTAATAGGAATAATGCAGTTATTCTAATGAGCAGTTCTCATTTGAAATCAGTTTGAGTAATACATATCTATAGCTCTAATACAGTGGTTCTCAACCTGTGGGAAAGTCCTCGACTTACGACCAGTTTAGTCCTCGACTTACGACCGGTTTAGTCCTCGACTTACGACCGGTTTAGTCCTTGACGTACGACTGGTTTAGTCCTCGACTTATGACCGGTTGGGGTCGCGCATTAAAAAGGTTGAGAACCACTGCTCTATATAAAGAGTGTCAGACACTGAGCAGTATTATAGGTTTGGGACTGAAAGAAGCAGCTAGTCCTCAAGTTACAACAGTTCATTTAGAGACCACTTGAAGTTACAGCAGCACTGAGAAAGTGACTTATGACCGTTTTTCACACGTGTGACAGATGCAGCATCCCCATGGTCATGTGATATAAATTCAGACGCTTGGCAAGTGACTCATACTTATGACGGTTGCAGTGTCCCTGGGTCACATGATCCTTTTTGTGACCTGACAAGCAAAGTCAATGGGGAAGTCAGATTCACTTTACAACTGTGTTACTAACTTAACAACTGCAGTCATTCATTTAAGAACTGGCAAGAAAGGTCATAAAATGAGACCATATTCACATAATAACTATCTTGCTTCGCAACTTTGAGCTCAATTGTGGTCATAAGTCAAGGACTACCTGTGGCTCCTATAATGATATATAATAACTCACCTCCAGAGAAAGGACAGGAAAACAGAAAGCTGACCAGGAAGGCACTCAGATAAATAAGCAATCTCATTTTCCAAGTTCACCTGAAAATACCGAATAGTGATGGTGCTAAATCAACAGCAGGACCTTTGATAAGAAAATCAATGCACAAATTCAAACTTGCTCTGTATTTTCAATTTTCAAGAGTCAATGTTGCACAATACCTTGCTCTGATAGATTTTCAGCCAAGTAAATTAATTTGTACATAGGGCTCAAGCATTACATTAAGCTCTGGTTTATTTGAACCATGGCTTGATGATAAAGGCACAGTGTCCTGGTTTATACCACAGACAAAACCATAACTCTTGTAACCAGGGCTTTTTTTGTCATAGAACGCCCAGAATGGAGTTCCGGCACCTTTTTTGGATGGAACCTTGTAGGGTAGGCAAGGCGGGTTGTATGACATGTGTGAGTTCCGGCACCTATTTTTT